CCCAGGCCATGTTTGAATGAAGACCACGATCGTAAAATTCTCTCAACTTTTTTAGAGAAAAGTTTAAAACTGTTATCTTTAATTCAGTTCCTTACACGATAACCATGCAAGAACGAGTTGCGCCTCATTGTTATGAGCCTTAGGATTCAACCGGTGAATCCTTGTAGTATGCCCAAAGACGACTTGTATTGATAATGCTTTTTTACTCTCTACTGTAGAAAAAAAGCCTAAAACACATCCGTCCCTCGAGACGTTCCTCAAGGTGCATTTAAAATGCAAACACTAAGTTTTCGTTCACTCTCGAGGTAGAGAGCCTGGTTAAACTTAATAACGACCATCTGAAGCGATAAAGATTTTGACCGTTTCTCCTTCCCATGAAGACGTGAAAAGATAAGTACCTTCTCCAAGTTCTCGTGAAAGAACCCGGATATCTTACAGTTAAACATGCGTGGGAATGCTACAACAGCATGGTTTAGACCACGTATTCCCCAGTCTTAACACGCAATCATCATGGGAAAAACGAAAGGGTGAATATGAAAATTGGGCGCAATCGGTAACTATTTGTACGGTGTCGATCATCAATGAGTCACATCCGCTTACGTAATCGCACATGCATCACTATCAGAATGCCGAATCCGGATTCATACAAATACGCAATCATGCTGATCATAGAACGTGCCAGAAATTTATGTACAAATTATATTTTATTTACAAAAATAAGTATAAATATAATATTATTTATAAAAATATACATTCAAACAAGATTATTTTCAGCGTATTCTAACAGGTCATCATAATCTAAAAAGTAGATATGTTTCATTTTTTTGTTTAAGAATTTTATTACAAACTCAAAATCAAGTTCGTAAAATTCTCTTCTGTGTTCTACTATTTCCCAGCTATCGCTATTATAATAATGCACACCGTCATTGAAGAGATTGTGATATGAACGGGCATGTGCGTCAAAATAGTTAAACCACATTTTGAATTTTTGATATTTCTCAGAGTCTTCTTTCTTCACATCGTCAACGTATTCTTCGTATCTTCTGTAAAACTTCAGATCAATTACAGAGAATTGACTTTCAAATTCAACTTGTGGTAAAGGGTTTTCAAAAGATTCTTCTTTATCGCCGGTTGAACTTGACGGCCAAGACTCAACTTTTTCACAAATATCTTCCCAACTATCTTGCTGTTTTTGGTTTTTCTTGAAGAGTTTTAAGAGTTTTTTAAAGAATTTCATCTTGTATAATTGTGTTTTGAATGTGTTGCGTTTGTAAAATTCAAAAGAGAATTGGAGGTTGTCTCCATTAAAATTCTTGCGTTAAATAAACTTTTGCTTTGTAAATCTTGCAAATTTTCTTTGTCATCACGATTACTGATTGGTTCTTCACGCGTTTAATCTGTTTATTTTTGGTTTCTTTTAAACTGGTTTCTTTAATCCCACAATTTATAAATAATAAATATATATTTATCTCCTTATTAATTATATTTATCTTTATCGTATAATATGAATAAATTCTATGTTGTTTATGTTGGAAAAACTCTTGGGATTTTCATGTCTTGGGAAGAATGCAAAGA